AGGAATCATGATGTCACTTTTGGTATTTAGGGAATGAGTCTTATCTTTCTTTTCCTGTGAGAGATTAACTGACAAAATTGTCCTTTGAATATTTCTGCACATCTTTTAGTCTTTGAGAAATGGATTCTTTATATCTATATTAAGATACACTTGGTTTAATTGTTCTTAAAGATCTCTAATAATTTAGGCCTCAGTTTACATTTGTATTTTTTGTTTCCTTTTTAACTCATTTGTAACTGGGAGATTTCTGTTTTTCTTACTCTGAAGTTTTTGTTCAATTTCTTTGTCATTCCTGTCTCAACAGTGCATCATATCAATCTAAACTGGCCCCACCAACATTTTCAGGTGTGTCATCTAGACCTGCATAGAGTTACATAACTGAGTTATATAAATTACCAGTCACCTTTATACATTTATGCTTATGTGATGGCTGTTATCCTGGTGAAAACACCAGGTGAAATGAAGGCCTCAAGGCTGAACAGTGTGTACTGCTATACAGTAGCATAAATACGGATGTGCGAGAGGGGCATCTACCCGAGAAGCCCAGTTAGGAGAGGCACTGGAATCTCTGCTCACCCCAGCAGAGTCCATGCCCTGGCAGCATTCTGATGCTGGGAACTCCAGGAGTCCCTCAGAAATGCCATATCTTACCTTTCACTTGGTTTTTCACAACAGAAAAATAATAAAGTAATTCTTCTGTTGAAAAGAACTTAGAAAGACCACAACAGGTCAGAATGTTTTTGACACTATGGATTCTTACTAAAGTTTCTTAGTTTACCTTTTGAATCATGCATAGTTCTTTGCACACCTAATAGTTTTAATACTGGGCAGCACCCTAAAACGGATCTCACAGCACTGAGAATCACTGATCTAGGGAAACCAAAGAAGGCTAGTAACAGCTGGAAAGCAATTCCTATTCTGCTCAGGCTCTTTGGTTTGTGGAAAGGATTTGTTTTCTTTACTTCTACCTGGGCGCATCTACACATGCACAATTACTGCGCAGTAACCAAAAATTACTGCACAGTACGGGCAGCATCTACATATATATATCCATACTGCACAGTATGTATGACGACTTATGGCAACTTGTGCATAAATGTAATACTTGCATGATGCAGATATCAGATATACCCGCAATTAGTTACTGAGCAGTAACTCACAAGTAGATGCCTTACTGCACAATAACACTGTGTGCGTGGACTGCCTTGGGACTAACTTTAGTCTCAAGGCAATCCAAACACAGTGATACTGCACTTTAACACCTGCACGTGTAGACATTGGTGTAAATCCACTTACTGCGCAATAAATGCATGTGTAGACACGCCCTTTGTGTACAAGTCAGCAGTGCTCAATATAGGGGGTACCTATAGCTGCGAAAGACATTGTGTGCAGAATTGTATCCAAACTATAGTTTAAGTGCTTCAGGATGACAGTCACTATA